TATATATATATATATATATATATATATATATATATATATATATATATTAGCTTTTAGTGTTAACTGTGAAACTGTTCTTCTTAAAGTATTTAAGCTAAGTTGCCATTTTCTCTATAATTCTACCAAAAGATAACTTTATTGCATGCTCTGTGTGCTTTGCTTTATGTTAAGATGTTGTGGTTCTACGAGTCTTCCAGAAAAGTTGAGAGTACAACACAGCCAATTATTTTCTCTATTTTCTAGTTTTTTTTATGGCTAATGTGGCATCTGTGCAAGAGGCTGCATACTTGCAAATTAGCTAGCACCATATAATTAGCCTGGATACTAATGAGTTGCGGCTTCCATGCTAATAACAGATATTTTAGTCCATAGTAACAGGCGGCGCACTGATGCATCAGGGCTGGAGGAGCGAGTGTGTAGGAGGCTGAAGCTGCCTATTCAGCCTCCTGGGATACTCATCATCTGGCTCGATTCAGATGCCAAAGAGCTCTTTTGTTTGACCCATTCAAACAACACCATTGTACCAAGCGAGTCTGATTGTGCTACTCTTTGCAATGCCGGAGTAACAACTGCGTGTGTGTTCTTGTCTGTTTGTATCTGCAGTGTTTTGTTTCCATTGTTAAGAATTATTATACAGACGTGTGTGTGTGTGTGTGTGTGTGTGTGTGTGTGTGTGTGTGTCTGTGGCGTTGTGTGTTTGCATCCCAGCAGCATGCGTTTGCATTTCCCGAAGCAGGGTTTTTTGTCTCTGCTGGTGACAACAATGTACCCAGTCATTGAAATGCAGCAGGGCAAATTCAGCCCAAACGTGACCCCGTTTTCTGGCACTGCTGCCTGTAAAGTAGCTCAGAGTCAGAAGCTTCTGCTGAGAGAGAGAAAAAGAAGAAAGTTGTTGAAATGTCTGTAAACGCTCGGATTTGGAACTTTTCATAACTGCATGCAACTCTGAAAGGCACATAAATCATGATACAGTCACCAGCCATCAACATGTGACGATTAAAGCGGTGAACAGATGGGAGTGGGACGGATCTGCATAAGACAGTGGGCTTTGTTTTGCATGGTTCTGTATGCCGGTGTGTTTTCTGTTTACTTGTCTGCATGACCAGTGATTCTTCATTTCCCGCATCATGTTTCTAGCATCAGAGCACTAAATCAAAAATATTCCTGCTGTCATGTGTGAACCACCATATTGGTCGGAGAACATTTACATCTTAATTCAGCGTTTACAAGTAGTTCATGTGTTTCTTCCGCATCCTCGTGGTTCTAGATTGTTTTGTCATGCAATTTATTTCACCACTTTCTGTAATTTCCTGTTGCTGTTGGGAAAGTTGCTCCTTCATTTTGTAGATTGCTTCAATAGCTTCTGCACTCTTTAAGTTGTCCCTGTCAGCAGGGTGTTTTCAAACTGCTGTGTCCCACCCAGTCCAAAAGACTTGCCGTGTGTGTGTGTGTGTGTGTGTGTGTGTGTGTGTGTGTGTGCAATTCACAGCAATATTTTTCATCTAATTGATTAAATGTCAGAAAATAATGAAGAAATCCTTTTACAATTTGAAGGTATTATCTACAAACCCAAAGATGTATATTTTTTTACTTGTCTTAAAGGATGAATTCATTTTTAGCATGAGTTAGCATGATTCCCCTTCTGTTATACCCAGATGTTCTTGCACCACTATAGGATAGAGGTGTACAATTTTCCCCTCAGAGTCTTTAAACTCAAATAACTATACCCGAATCACTATTGTCACTGGACCGTATCAGTAGCTTTTAGCAGTGGAGCTTCTCACTGTTGTCAGCTCTGCAGTGACAGTTGGCGGTACTTCCTCTTTAAAAGCGTATTAAAAGAAAGCAAAACTACAGAATAACATGCACACGGCGGTGTCTCTTTAACACACCTAACCCAAGTCTATTTCTCACATCCTCCTCCTCCTGAATGACCTCTGAAGAATTAGAAAACCTCTCATCCTATACGTTTGTAAACATCACTGTTAATCCAACAAGTTTGCACAAAGCAAGTTCTTCTTATGTATCCAAGCCCCACATCACACCTCCTGATGGATGTGATGTATCTGAATTGTCTGGACTAGCCTCAGTGAAAATGAGTTCGTCTCCAGGTTCGTTCCCTCGAGCTTTGGCCTTAAAGTGAGGCGGTGGCAGGGGAGAGGAAGTCTGAAGGAAAAGTGATAATGAATTGACTTAAGGCCTAGTTTCTATTTTGGTTGGGAATTGGTTGGTGAAAGTGAGGTGTGAGTCGGAGAAACTGCACAGTGGAGACAGATGGAGGCACGGTAAGACAGAGGAAGAAATTCTGTGTCTGGCTGCTTTTCTTTTACTTTTTTCATCTTAGAATAAACTAAAAGTCAAAAAGAGCTCAGACTGCATGCTACCACTAATTTGTGATGGAACATGAAACGCTTGAGCGGCACTGGTAAGGGGCCTTCTGGGGATGGTGCAACACTCTTAAAAAGCTGGATGAAAACTATTTCACCCTGCTGACTGGCTGGAAAGTTTGTCATTACACATGACAAAAATTTGGACTTTATTCACAAGTGGCACTCTTTGTGTGAATGAGAAGTACCAAACATGTCTCAGTGTCTGAGCTACAATGAGGTCATTAAGAAACATGCAGCATTGTCATGACAGCAATTTTAGCCAAGATAAAGGAGTGGCTCGCGTGATGGCAATGTTACTCGACCCATCACTTTGATCCAGACTGAAATATGTCTTGCATGGATTGTCATGCAAATGCATTCCTCTGGTCAAATATAGGGATCTGTCCAATACATTGGTTTATGATATGAATGTAAAACTGATGACTTTCCCATCAGCCTCAATTGTACTTTGCATATTCGCAAATGTTAGCATGCTAACACACTCAACAAAGACGGTGGAAATAGTAACATTATACCTGCTTAACGTCAGTGTGTTAGCATCGTCATTGTGAATTAGCATTTTGCTGATTACTGTGCAAATGTTGCTTTTTTTTTTGAAGAACAAATAAGACAATCGCTAAAAACCTTGCAGGTCATTTGAAAAGCTTTATCACAAATAAATAAAGAATTCCAGGTTCCTAAAAGGCTTAACTTGTTCTTCTCAATTTTTTTCCCGGTCAAGAAAAAACTTTCAATCACAACTATTCGAAATCACAACTACTATACATCACTAAATCAATATGATAAAAACACTTTGCATATCGTATCGAGATGTTTGACTGAACAGAAGACTGGCAGCTTGGGATACCTGTTAAAAAGCAAATCTATTGTGCAGCGAGAGGAATATTTGTCATTACAGCAGCTGGATAGAGGAGTCTTTGATTGTGGAAAACAGCAGCACGTGGTATCAAACAACCTGCGGAGTTGTTAAAAATGTAGGCTCATATTTATATTTGGAAAACACAGATGCTTACTGTAGCTCTGTGACTCAAATGTCACCATCAATGCCAAAGTCCCAAATGTAAAAACTGTGATTATTAGAGAGGTATAGACAAAGCCTCCCACAGTGTCTGAATCTGTCTCCATCAGAGCAGGTGTGTGTGTGTGTGTGTGTGTGTGTGTTTATCCGCTACATCCTGAGCGGCACCATGGAGACTTTCAGCAGACAGCAGACGTTATCAGCTCTGCTGAGGCCCCCTCGATGTGGGCCAAGTGGAAAAAATAGAGAGAGCAATCAGTGTGGTCCCATGATTCCTAGTGAGCTGTGAAGGAATGACATGTAGAGTCACATCTCACACGCCATGTCACGTACAAACGAAAACACACACGTTCACACCCTATTTGTGTGTCCTTGCTGGCTCAAAATACAGAATCTAATTATTCCTGTTAATCACCAGACTCTCAAACTGACTCATTGTAGAGCGGCATACTGTGCATATGGACACACACATGCACACACACCACTGACCCTCCCCTCCCCACACACACACATGCGCACACTCACTCTTACAAGTGCTCTCCAAACAGCACACTCTCACTTCAGCTTTGCACAGGATATTATGAAATCAGCCCTGTTGCTGAAACTTAGTGAAGGTCGCTAGGAGTCCTCTCTCTCACCCACACGCACACACACACACACACACACACACTTCACCTGGCACTTAAACACTCACACACACACATCCTTGTGCAGAGAGCTGAATCTGCGCTCAGTCCCAGTCCTCTGCTGCTTGAGCGAGGAGCCTGCTGGTGATCGGACTGTCGCCCGAAGCGAAGGGGCCAAGCCGGCGTTGATTCAATTTTACAGCCCAGTCACTCCTTCTGAAGCTCCGATTAGTCAGCCGAGAGAGACGAGGGGGAGACGACAAGAAGAGGAAGAGGAATAGTGATGGCTATGGCCGACATTGCGGAGGATGACCTGGATGAGGTGATGCACGATGAAGCGGAGGATGTCTTCTTCCAGGACGGTAAGGCTTGCCAAGGGTCAGTCGTAAAGTCTGAAAGCAGCTCGAGGATCGCAGTGAGGTCAGACTGGTTGGTTTGTGTCTTGTGGTTGTTATCAGGGTTAAGAAGGGGGCAAAGGTGATGGTTGAAGTGTGGCCCAGAGGGATCTCTTCAGCTGTGTATGTGGGGTAGTTTTCTGCATGGTTGAGTAGGCTCCGATATGCACTGATGCTGAAAGGTTACCACCAAAGATATATTTATTAAGTAGAAGAAAAGCTTCAGTATGCCAACCAGTAGTTATATAATTGTTAGTCAATTTAACCAATGTAACGAATCCTTGAACTTCTGAGAGCTTCATGCTGTCCGTTTTTGAAGGAGCTCTGTGCAGAGTTTATTGATTTTTCAACTTTTACCCTTTTTAGAAAGCCGAGAGCAGTCATGCCCTCTGCAGTGTGGGTGTTCTTGTATAACAGGCAGATGTTTAAAAGCAAGCATTATGCACCACAGTGGGTTTTTTTAATGTCAGAAGCAGCTGTAATCATAACCTACAGTCAGTATTATCCTAGGAGAGTGATGATGATCATTCAGAGGTAGATGGAAAATGGTAAAATGCTGTCAGGTTGAATAATAATTGACGACTGTTCAATGTTTTTGAAACAATTATATAAATAACCTCTGACCAGGATTGTGGCTAAAGCGTTATGGATAATGATGCTTCATTTATCAGCACTCAGCACTTATGTCACTCTGTGTATCATGAAGTAAATGGCTTTTTGTGTTTAAAAGAGTACCTCACCAATTGGGCATCAACTGCTCCCCCCCACACTGAAACACGCACACCGGTTGCAAAATGGCCGATTAAACTAAATTTAAGCCAATTTCTCAACACACAAATATGCTCAACGCAACTGAACTAACATTAACACTAGTATATTTAAGCTCTATACAAGCTCGAAATGCTCTGCTGCAGCTTCAATGATGACGAGTGGACAGTGAGGATATTCCCACTTATTGCATCATTTGGTGTGTAAAGTATGTTAACACCTCCAGTGACCCACTTCTGACTGAGATACACCGATGGCAATGTGACGTTCCCTTTGAACAACACAGCCGGGAGGTACTCATCCAGCTGACTCTCTGCAACCCAACCATCCAATCACAGCGCACAGATCCATGCAGAAGCTGGCCGGCAGGCATCACTGTGTTTATTCAAAGACCCAGCTGAAGGTTGCAGAATATGGATCATTTATATTTTTCTGTTCTAATTAGCTCATTGGGTTAGTGATGGAAATCATGCTGTGTTGAATATTCAAGTTTCATTCTCATTTGTGCTGAATGCAAATGTGTTACCACTGGCCTATTTCCCTTGTAAATCATTAGTTTTGTCATTAGCAGTGGGTTTGGAAATCTTTGAGGTTTTTTTACCAACAAAAATAGAATTCAGTGTTGAATGAACTCCGCTTGAAGAGTGGGATGTGTGGTTTAGCAACAGTCTTGTGTGATGTTGTTCCCAACCTGGGGGTCTGAACCGGGAAATACAGGCAGGAAATTCATAAATGTACCATTATTTTTGGCTTTTCTCTAATTGTTTAGAGTGTGTAGCCGTTAAGGATCCACACAACATGCAACTTAGACACAGCTCTGCTTGCTAATATGCTCACGATGACAATGCTAACATGTTGGTTTAGCATGTTAATCATGTTCACAGTCTTGTTTTATTTAGTGCGTTAGCATGGTATAAAGTGCAACTGGGGCTGAAAGGAATGCCATTAGTTTTCCAGGTTTTTAGTTATACCTCCAAAGTATTGGACACATTGAAATGTTGACCCGACGATGGCACTAGAAGAACAGTTAAGGGATCATTAAAGCGTTACAATTAATCCTGATTGGAACATGAATATCTGTACAAAACGTCAAGACCACCAAAGGCATTTGTTAAATGTTGTGTCCTATAGAACCACACAGGTGGCTGAAAGGTATGAGAACCACTGACATTATGTCATGTGATACAGTTTTTGAAGAAGTGGGCAACATAGAAATTGCTGTAAAATGCATGAAATAAAATAGAAGACAAGAGGCCATGAAGCGAGTAACAGACCTCAGAGTTACTGTAGTAAAGAGGGACTGTATAAGATGTCTTTGCTGTCATCTCTGCCCTCCCAGAGACAATAGGTTGTATATGTCATGATTACTCTTGCTACTCTAGCTTGTTGTTATTTTGCTGCTGCGCTGCAAACTGAATTATGGAGCATTACTTTCGGCCTGGCAGCAGAGTGTAAGAGAACAGAGCTGATACAATCACAAGCGCACTTCCTCCCTCCCTTTTCCTGCCTCTCCAGTTCAGATCTTATGAGTTAGCAGAAAGACAGTTAACTTTGGTCAGTGGGAACATTGGTCCTCATGCTAGAGCCACTCGTACGAACAGATTCAGTCTGAAGTGGCCTGTACAAGGGATTTAGGAGAACTTGCTACATTCACCAATTTTCTTGTACTTCGAATGTTCTTTTGGGTACAAAAACAATTTACGAGTGTCCAGACCTGTAGCAGGATTCATGTGCAGTGAGTCTGCTGTTATCCAAGCTTAATTTTCTCAGTAATGGATTGTATATTTCATTACCAAGAAGCAATTTTGAGTTTGAAAACCCTTTATAAATTAGACTTCATAATTATATTTAGATTATCCTGTTTGACTCTGCAATTTGAATTATATGCCCAAATTTAAAATGTATTCACATAGCCTAACGCTATCCTCATTCATTTAAATTGGCGTGATGCTTTTGTATAACACTTCAATATCAATATGAACATCTTAAACTGCAAATGGTGCTGGTCATTTGCAGTTATCTACAGTTAGGAGCGTTTGCATGAATCTGACGTGGATAGGAATACGAGAATGAGGTCCTCTGATGATTGCCCCCTCAAAATCCCCTCTGCACCAACTCCCACCTGATCTGAACAACTCCATTCAGGTCTTACAGGAACTACAGGCAGAGCCATTAAGTGGTGTTACATACACGTTAACACAAACACAACTCTGCGTTCTTCCCTTCTTATCACACTTTACCACACACATGCACAGCACACATTTGTCAGAAAGAAGAAAAAAAACCTGGCTACACAAAATGAAAAAGTGCACAGCAGCGTTATTGAGACCAAAATAAACACAATGGCCTCTTTAAATCCTCCTTCCTCCTTATGAGTTATTCAAAGGGCCTGATTTTGCTTTGCTCCTCTACTGATGTGGTTGGCAGCGGAGTGCCAAACAGTGCAAGCAAAGTACACAAGAATAGTGTGTCCCGAAGGAAAGGAAAGCCGCAGCAGTATAGGGCTTTAATGGCAGTGATAATAAAGTATGAGATCGATGGTTGGAATGGTGTTTGCTGTCTAAGGTCAGGTCAGAAAGCATGACAAAGCTGCCCTCAGTCACAAGTGAGAAGCTCCTGGAAGTGAGAAGCTCCTGGGAAGCATCCTGAATTACATTTACGCTCAAGAACCACATTGGAAATAACTCTTCATGTCACAAAAATGTCAGACTTGACTTGAAATGTGTAGTATACGTAGCGACTTGGCATTTGTATGCGTGTTTAACTGAACTAAATCCCTGTCATTTAATACAGTTGTGACTTAGTGAAGAGTTTATCTGCTGTGATGCAGGAATGTTCAGTATTGTTCCTGGTTCTTGTGCAATAGGATGCGTCTCCACCTCCTCCACTGACTACCAATTACGTGGCAAAACCACTAATTGCTGGGCTTAACAGCTATTGTTTGTTTGTTTTTTTTAAGTCTGGTTTCTGGCACAATGACATGTCAATCACCCAGACTTAATGAGAGTTTTCCATTCAGCCAATGTCTCGCCACAGATTTTGAGAAAAACGAACTCCCATGATAGTTTAGATAATCAATTAAATAAATCCTAAGGGGAGGGGGGCGTGCATGTAACCTGAGAGGGGTTAAAGCTTTGATGTAGTGTTTTCACCCGAACTCTTTAAGCCTTTGCTCAGACTTTGCCAATGGGCTTCTCTTTAATGTTCTCTTCTGAACATCACCTGAGATTTAAAGAGGGAACAAATAAAGCAGTAAAGGCATGACGCAACATGCAGGTCTGTTTTAAAGGAGGAATGTCTAAAACAGCAAATTTCTCATTTTCTCAGAAGGTTTCAGGAGCTTTTCTTGGAACAGGTGATAGGACAGCATTCCTCTGGTAATCCAAGAAAAAGAGACAATACAAAGAAAAGGTGTCTATAGGCTTAAATTGAGCCACACACATTAACCCAATAATTCACTAAGACTGGGTCGGGACCCACAGGTGAGTCGCAGGAGATTCTATTTGGGTCACCAAATAAATTAGCAGAGTTTCTTCCATAGTCTTTTATTTAACATATTTCTGCAGTACACTTTCAGACACATGAGCCTGAATGTTCGTATTGTTCTGATAATTGTGCACATAAAACGAAGTTGTGATTTTTCAAAAGTATATCTCTTCAAATAGCTGGTTTGTAATTTGTAAAAATGTTCTTTCTTGTAAATTTGGAGATACTTGTGGAGCTATTTCTAATGTACTACTCGTACCACACACTGCTTGGTATTTAAACTGCTTTTGATTGTGTATTAAAGCCAGAGGTTTGTACATTACAGCCACATAATCACATCTGTATTACGTTTTAAGGAGGCATGAGCATATTAAAACTGTATCCCAACTTCAAATATGCTCGTTGAGGAGATCTCATTACGTTATCATGCTGATGACATGAAATCAATCTCACTTCTACAGTGCAGGCTTTCTACTCTTGCCCAGAGGGTGAAACAGAGGACACACCCCCACCACACACACTCACACAAGACATTAGCATGATATACAGAGCCCATGGAGACGGCTCCAAGACTAGAAGCCAGGTCAGATTTCACAAATCCATTTTTCCCTGTGTCTTGTCTGTACTTGCCTTGTGAGGCAAACCACAGGAAACTGTATCCTCCTCCGAGCCCACATGGTGCCCACCGAGGCTCAGGATCACAGTGAGCCGAGAGGAGGGAGGAGATTTATCTGAGAGCCATCTGATCTGACAGTTTAATATTTATGTAGAGATACAAGAAAGCAATGAACAAGCTGTTACTACAGTTATGAGAGGCATCCGACCTGCATTTCTCACTGTTTTTGGTTGCATCATGAACATATTTGATAATGCTGTTTGTTAATGTAAACCAGGAAGATTTTTAAATCATATTTCACCAAAAATACACAACAAACTTCAAATAACATGCTATCCCATCAATATTGGACAAAATGACCAAATCATGCAGTTTAGGTTAGATCATCTGATCATCTTTTAACTCTAAAACACACACACACACACACACATATTTCTATTTTTTGGCAGTTAGTCAAATCACTAGTTTGAAACCAGCTGGTAGTTGCTAAGAACTTATAAGAACATTGTTTAGTGTTGGATTTACACATAGCTGGTGCAACTCAGTCCAGACTAGAATCAATACCAAAAAAAGTAGTGAAGCAGTGGCAACAATATCAACGAGGATATTAACATCCAGCATGTCGCTTAACTGTACTGTATGGGGAGGTAGAGTTATATTATGTCATTAGAATATAGAGCTATTCCCTAGTAATGAAAAATGATTTGGTAAAGTGACAGAGTGACTTGCTTGACTTTAGCGAGTTTAGTTTCGCTTTTTTGTTTGATCTTTACTCTCCTTAATACTTTTTGGATTTAGCAATACAATACTTTTCTGTCCAAGCATGTCGTTTTTCAGGTGCAAACCCTTATATTTCTGAACACGACCCTTCTTTTATCATGCGAGGACTATATTGGCTACAGTTCAAATGCCATGATCATAGCAACCTTAATGCACTCTCCAGGCAGCAGAACCTCCAGGTTTCAGTCCTGGAGGTTCACAGTCCGACAAGCAAATAATTAAATCAATGTTCATTGCTGTCTGTGAAGCATTTTGTCAAATTTTGCAAGCGATAATTTGATTTGGTGTAAGTGCATATCTGATCTGCAGAAGGACAGGGGAGGCTGCGTTAGAGCCAAAAGGGGTCACTGCTGGGGGTTGGAGAATGATCTAAAACTGACTTGATCTACTACTTACCCTTCTAGAAAACACACACGCACACACACATTAACTGACCCGCTCCGCTGCAGCCTTTGCACACACACAATCATCATCTCTCCACCCACACATACACTTCCACTGTCTGGCCATAGATGTCATCTCTGTCCAATACAACACACTGAAGAACACGACAGTACTGTAGTGTGTGCGTCAGTGGTCGCGCCGTGTTGGTAATAGCTCTGACCTGAGGGGACCTACTGTAGCTGGAATATTACCACTCCGCATCACCCTCTTCCTGCTTCTGACAGTTGGCTCCACTGACCTACTTTTGCCAAGAGACTCAAATTATTTTTATTTTCTGCAGTTTTCACTGACAGGCGAGAGAAAGAATAAAGAGGAAGGCTAAAAGAGTGGAAAACACTCTTTGCATTTTGGGACTGAGGGTGAATTTTAATGGTGCAACATTCATTAAGCCAGATGATGAAAGAGTAGAAATCTTTCTTTCTTTGTCTCAGCCATAAGTGTAACCTTGTCTCAGTTTCTTGGTCACAGATGTTTACATGTGGCTTAAATCTAAGATGGCATTTTCACTGTACTGCTAACCTTTCCTTTTGCAGTTCCCATGTGGTTACTATGACAATCTGTGCTGTGGGCAGCACTGGGCGTGCAGGGTTTACACTTAGTGGTTTGGAACCTTTCTCACAATGAGGTAATCCTGTTAAAAACATGAAATGTAACAGACCACCCATGGCTCTTCACAGAGGGGTAACCTGGTGGGAGAGGGGAGATCAAGTGTTGCTCCTTATTGGGCAGCAGGTCACAGGTGTATTGCTATTTTTTGTAAATGATAAAATGACCTAATTGATGGTTGCTTGTGTAAGACTTGTGCTCTGTGCCAGAGTAACTTTTGTTTGACACACACCTAACAGTAAGATGTTTATATAAAACAGGGTTAGACACATGCAGTGTAAGGCGCAACTTTAGTATCAATTTATTGTTGTGTTGCTGACCACTTGATGAAGTAATGTCATGATGATGAAGTCCAATAGTCAGGCTCCTTTTATCTCTGTTTTGGTCCCCACCAACTCCTGAGAATATTATCTTGCTCTTTCTTCAACTGCTAGTTACTAACTTTGTCTGTCGTGTCTGCTGTAGCAATGTATTTATCAAAGCTTTAATTGCTGCAGTCGGTTGCTGTCTGAAAACGGGGCTGATCAGAGAAGTCTGCACGCCTGAAAAACAGAAAAAGAGTTTAAGGATGCTAATAAGCTCAGTGGAGCTAATGTGGGACTGCAGAGTTGTTGGATTATTCTCTATGGGTTTTTCACTGTAAGCAACCCGTTTCCCCTCTTTTACCTACAGACATTTGATCCATTGCTGTTGTAAAAAAAAAGAAGTATTTCAGCTTCAAAATATATTAGTAGTCAGGGAGAAAAAACATTAAGAATGAAATAAATATTATTATTGCATCCTTTATTGCATGCAATTGCTTTGTGAGGTCACTGGTGAGATGATATTGTTGGCAGCCACCTGCAGTCTGGCCTATGCTCCTCGGAGCAGAAGCTCTACCTGCAACAAGCAACTTGTCATTACAGACCAAAGGAGCCGTGCCATACAGCCTGTTATTAGTTCACCACTGAAGAGACACACAGTATGTTATGCAACTTTGTACAGACGTATCAAAGCTTTGGATTTCTAATTTAAGAAGCAATGCAGTAGACACACCTGTGTATTCAGAGCTGCACTCACACATACAGTATACTGTGTGTTTCTATGTCTCTGCAGTAAACAGAAACCAAAGCTGAGTTCACAATGTCAGAGTTTAGATTCAAGTTCGGCATTTACAACTAGCGAAGTCCAACAATGAATCAACCTAAACAGGACTAGTAACCGGAGAGGAGGCAGAATTTTCCTCGGACATTCTAGTGCCACACACGCTCATTCTGACACACACACACACGCACACACAACGTCAGATGTGCCTGTACATCCCTTTGCTTTGACCTGCCTGCCCTCCGTCATGTGGCCTCTCTGACTCATTCTGGTTTAGTGGTTAGACGTTGTCAGGCAGAGACGAAGGAAATGTTTAGAGAAGCAGACAAAGAACAGCAGTAAGATAAATATTATATGTGAAGGGCATAAATGCTTAACTGAATAACACAGCGAAGAATTGGTGGTAGAGCGAGTGGGGCTGTTTTAATGCCGCGCTACATGTGGAGCAGGAGATTGATGGTGGCGACCGACATCAGATGTAACTGGTACGGAAGGAAAGGAACTTCTCTGCTCGGAGGTCAGTGGGGGTTGGTTTCATTTATACCTTCTGTGTATGAATGGGTTTATGAGTGGGCACACGTATTTGGGTACGTACTGTTTACATATGTACCCAATGATCTATAGTTGTGGTTAATATAGGGAGAGAGCATTTCGATAAAGTCTTGAGACCAAAATAAATGTATTCTAGCTTTAAAAAGTATGTTTTAAAGGGCAATGTGAATTATTTTAATCAGTGTTTTAGAGAAAAGTTTCTGTAACATTAAGAATACAGAACATCCAACACAAATTTTTGTTATATAGTTGAATATTACGATATAGATATTTGAATTGTGTGACTTTAAGAATACCTTTGGACCGTACATCTAAAGGAAAGCTGGACAATAAAAGTTGATATTAAAGTTATAATCTTGAGTTAATAATAATGCTCAGTGTTACTTTGTTGCTGACACTATACGTGAGCCGAAGGGAAATTTCTGCTTGCTGAGAAAATTCTTGAGAGGATTAGAACCGATTAGCCCGATGCTAATTTACCTGTTGCTGTGATTTTGATTGGCAACTGCTATAAATATATGGTTATGTATCTGTGTGCATGTGTGAGTGCATGCGTGAGTGTGCACGGTCTTCCCTTTGTGTGCGTGTGTGCCTGCAGGGAGTGTGTTTGTGCACCCTGGTTCTTCAGTAAATATAGCCGCTAGTCAGGGGCTGTTGATGACAGCCAAAATTACAGGCTGAGCTGTTCAGCAGCTGAGAGTCGAGGAGGAAGAGAGAGAGGTGTGTCTGGGTGTGTGAGCAAGTGTGTGTTTGTGTTTGTGTGTGTGTGTGTGTGTGTTAGTGCTAGCTGGGGGGCTTATGGAAACCACACAGAGTCCCTTGAATGTGCCCAGCATTTCATAGTAAACTGTTCACAGAAATGTAGGATGTAGGCTAAGTGTGGTTTTACATGTGTTACAGAGTAATGTTTAACATTACATATAAAGTCCCCAAAGAACATTTAACATTGGACCAATCGGAGTCCCAGTTAGAGATAAACTGGGACAGAAAAGGACTATATGAGCTCAGTTTGGTGGAGGTGTGTGACTGAATTAATTTGGCGGTGAGGTGGGAAAGCTCACTGACAGCAGAACAAGTGGAACTGCTGCATACTTATTTAGCTTTAAGGGACTACGAGGAAGGTGTAGGTTAATAGACGTTTTGGGAAACACGCTTATTTGCATTTCTTACTGAGAGTTGGATGAGAAGATCAATACCACTTTCACCTGTTTCTGGTATAAGGCTACAGCCAGCAGCCAGTTAGCTTAGCTTAGGTTAAAGACTGGAAACAGGGGGAATCAGCTAGCCTGGCTCTGTCCACCTACTAGCACCTCTACAGCGCACTAATTAACACGATAAAAAAATGATCTTGTTTGTTTAATCTATACTAAATTGAAGTGTAAATATAACATATTGTGGTTTCACGGATTGTTTGTTTGACTTGTGACTTCCTGAAGTCTTGCCATCTATATGAGGTTGCCAGGCAACCAGAGGAGACTCGAGGGAATGATTATGGCCGTCCATGAAATAGTCCACTCTCTGTCTTCTCATCTAATTCTCAGCAAGAAATCAAATAAGCGGGTTTTAAGGTACCATATTGTTAAAAAAGTGAGTATCATGTGCTCTGTAAATACTGTGAAAGTGTTTAAACGCTCAATCCATGGAGAAATACACACAGCCCGTGTTCAGAAACTGTGCCTTTAAACGAGTTATATTGTAGTTGCCGGGTCACAACTACAATATACGTAGATTTTTTTACCATTAAAGCATATAAACATGTTCTAGTAGAAACCCAAAATAAAGGTAATCTGGAAATGAGCGTAATATATCCTGTTTTAAGTCAGCTTTCTTCCTTGATCCAAACTAACAACCCTCTGAGGAAAGCTTTTTTCAGTATCCTCCTTTTGGCACTTTGTCAACAAATAAAAGTTCCCTCAAAATTGAAACCACAAAATTGAAACCACAAAGCTACTTTTCTTTCCAAATCTGTACTCGCATTAAAAAGACGGACCAGAGGTGAAAAATCAGTGAACCTTCCCTTTAATCATAGCAACGAGTCATTATGAAATGCCTTCCTTTACTAATACCAAACTGATGGATTAAAAGGGACAAGCCATTTTCTGCTTCCTTTGCTTCTTGGAAGGGGCGAGCTGAATTGGATGTGTATGGACTCAGCGGAACAGCATCTCCACTTATGGAGGGCAATTATGCTGGCAGGAGCACCTCAATACGAGTCACTCTACATAAAACCAACTTGCCCCACAGAAATGTGTTTCCCCTCGGCCCTCAAATAGCAGCACCTGTGAGTTTCGAGCTGTTTGTAGCTCCTAAAGATGGAGATGTTTGTGTTTTTCATGGTTCCCTTCCATGTAATTCAATTTGTCCGGCGAAAAGCAATTGCTGTAAACCCACTTGAGGTGAACAGATTGGAGAGGTAATTTTGAAAAAGCCCCTGTTGTTAAGCTGTGTAATCACAGATAATCACACCATCATTTTCACAACCTGTCAATACATTCACAAGGACAAATAAAACTTCTTTCGCGCACTGGCAAAACGCTGCAGAAAGAGGCAGGTCTCCCCGTACCTCTGCTAAAGTCTGCTTTAATGTCCAAGTGAACATGAAAGGTCTAAATTTAAACCCACAAGGCTGAAATGGTATCAGCTCTCTCCCTCCCGAAATGGCCCCGCTGCTGTCCAGAGTACAAGGGCAAAGAGAAATGTTTGAGACAGTTCGTAAGGTGACAGCTGGTTAAATCTGGTGCTCAGGCGTGGATTCACCCTGCAGGCTGGACTGGTGCAGAGAGAGAGAGAGAGACCAGCTAATGCCTATAGCAATACAACACAGACTGCAATGTGCTGTATGTGTGTGCAGAGCAGTATCACGTTCTTCATATTTTCGACTCAAAATATGGGGATTTGAGCAGTTTCTCTTTAATTGACAGCTGTTTTAAAAGTCCTCAAAGGCCCGCACGTTTTGTTTTAGCCTTTCACACCAATCACAGTGATTGGCACAAGCATTTCTTTATACCAATGATGAATATAACATTAAACTAAATTATAAAAACAACAACAAAAGAACGTGAAATAATGTATGTAAAGAAAATGTTTCAATTAGATACACTGCACACTGCAGACTGACAAGCTTCCAGTCTAAGATCTTAATTTTTCTTTCTTTTTTTATTTTCTTGTTTCTTATCTGTAATACCCTAATCTATATTTGCCAGTACTGCTATGTCAAAATGTAAACCAATAAAGCTCCTCTGAGTTAAAGAGACAGACAGACAGACAGACAAAGAGACACACCATACTCCAAATTTGATTCATCAATTTGACCCCCCCTCTTTCTCGGTCACACACACACGCACACGCACACGATGGGACGTTGGTGCTCGCAACAGCCTGATCCCGCCCTCCCTGTGACATTCTCCGCTTCTGATTGGCTCGCCGTTATTCAGGCGGAGCGCTGCAAACACAAACTAGAATGTGTGAAAGGGGGGTTCAGTGATTGCTCGGGACGGCGGCTGCACCGACTCCAACCGGGAAACAAACGTCGACCATCCGGGCGGCTGGTTCATTCTTGTGGGAGATTCTTTCTTTAATCTCCATCGCGAACAGCAGCGAAACGTCTGCGTTTGGAAGAAACGACGCACTTTCTCTATTTATTTACGCATGGATGGAGAGGCGCAGGTAGACGGCCAAAGACGCCACTGAGGAGCCACTCGTGAAGTTTTGCAGAGGTAAGTTGAGTCATCGCCCAGTGCAACTTCAGTGAGACTAAAAACGGTCGATAACACGGGCTTGTGTGGTGCTCATTCAGAAATCCGGTGCTTTCTCTCAGATGTGGGGGGAACGCTTGTTCCCCGCGGCAGCAGGTTAGTGGATCACAGCGAGGCACGAGCTGAGTTCACCAGAGATGCACCTCATTGGAGGTTAATCGTCGAGTTTTCTTGACATAAATATCTGGATAGTGCAAAGAATTAGACTGTAGTATTACAACTAGTAAGTCACTTTACTGTAATACAGCCGGGAAAAGACACTAATGCGATATTTTGATATCCAAAATCTAAGACAATAACTTGTCTCATATCCCGATATGATATCGATATTTTGCCCAGCCCCAGTTGATATTGTTTAATGTTCCGTGTTTATTGCATCTAATTAAATAAATCAAACTCAAATGGTAAGCATTTCCAGTCCTCTAAATAGGCTATGTGTTGTTTTTTCGCGTTATCTTTATGTCACTTCTTTTGACAGATGATGTGTTTAAAGAGCAGTGTCAGGCCCTGAACTTGCTTGTGTTTTCATGGAGACACGAGAAACAAGTTTAAATTGGGGGGGGGGGGGAATGTTATAAAGCTTGTTCATGTATGTAGCTGTGCATGTGGTTGTGTACTTGTGACACACACACACACACACACACACACACACTTGTGATGCACATGAGAGAATTAGGTCAGTGATTTAAAAAAAAATGCCCTTCCAGGTTTGTTGAGGATGGACGTCAAAGGGTTTCAGTCTTTAGTCATGCATTGTACACTGATACCACCTACAGTGGATCTGCCTGCTGAACCAGAGCAGCAGTACTGAAGCAAGTGAGCAGCCTTGACTGTTCTGTCAGGAGATATATCCAGTTGTTAGAAGATTTCTACCTTCCATCTGCAAATAACTCTCTTTTTTCCTGTGCTTTCTGGGCTGTAAAAACACCCGACCTACCGAGGGACAAGTGTGAATTCCTTGATATTTTAAAATCCCCTCCTTTTTTAAAAGTGTGCCAACTGAGCTGTTATCTTTCCAGCTGCATGTCCTCCAAGTTGATCAAAAGCAATAATCTTTTCAAGCAAGTCCACGATTCTCAGCCAGTTCCAATACACTTGGAAATAAAAACAAAACAACAAGAAAATCTTCCTCCCAAATAAGCATGCAGCCTGCAGCGAGGCTTTCCCCCCGGCTGCTCATGCTGTTTCTGAGAAAAAAGGCATTTCTTTTTTTTTTTTTTTCAGGGCTAAATGCTCTTTCAGAGCAGCGCCAGGCTGACTTTGATATGGTTAAGTGGAAGTGCTTTGCTTCCCTGCCAGCCCGTTTGGGCCATGGCTAAGCTGTTTGAAAGGGGCTGGAGACGAAGGGGGTAGCATGCTTGTGCCAAGCCGAGACGGGCTGCAGGGATGCAAGAGCAGCGTCTGTTCCCAGACTCCGCTCACCTTCCCTCTACTTTACCCCGGCCGGCTTTGCATTCCCCGCATCTGCTCCCTCAGTCTCAGCCCTCTTTCTTCTCCCTCTTTCTTTTCACTCTCTCTCTCTCTCTCTCCGTCTTTCACTTTCTCTGTCTCCACTCATGCAGGGACAAGCACTCACTCGCACACACACACGTACAAATACACACGCGCATGCACTCATTTCCTCCGCTTTCGCTCCAAAGTCTCATTAAAGGAATTATGACTGTGTGGTTTGGAACAAATGCAGAAGCTCGGTCGTTTTGTTGGTTGTTTTCCACCAAACTGCTAAAACGCAACACTGCAAATGTTGATGTGAATTGAATGTGATTCTTTGAAGAAAGTCATCTAAGTTCGATTTAGTTCAACGTTTCAACTGTGGAGCACCTGATCCACCGACTGAAACAAAAACATCATACAGCAGGTCGCTGCAGAAGGATGATAAATCGTAATGACTCGGGTGATCCTCTGACATTTCCTGTAGCGCCATCGCTCCAGAGTTACCTCATTGGCCGTCTCACACAGCTAATTCAATAGAAGCAGATTATGAAGGCTGTGTAAACGGTACACCAAAAGAAGGAGAAAAAATATGACTGGGAGGTGCATTGTGCTGGCAGCCATGATGAAGACTTTAGTGCTTTAAAGTCTATTGACGTCTCACACACGGAGCACTTGACCTTTTCCTTTATGCAAGAACACCCACTTACACTTTTGGGAATATTGTGTGTGTGTGTGTGTGCAGCATGCACATACATATGTCTTTCCATCTGTGATTATGTGTGTGGTTTTGGGGGGGAAACGTAGGCCTTACATTCTTACAGGAGGAGTGCCTCCCTTAAGTTTTCACAGCTGATAGTCATTTCATAAGGCGTGTAGGCTGCTGAATGTTTGTTAAATATTTCACTGGGATGCACTGTGAGAGTTAAATGATAGAAAAACGGCTTAAATAATGAAGTCAAGTCTCCTGCTGAGTTTCCACGATCCAGAGATCCAAATTTAACTCGACCCCTAGTCTGCGCCTGAGAAGCTGCTTTGGTGTAACTGGCAAGAAGTTGATTTTGTTCAAGTTCTCTGATGAAACTTTAACGTTGCCTTTGGGGAAATTGGTTCATTCTGTTCACAGATATACAAGACAGTTGTTTTGATACAACTGTCACAGTGCATACAAACCGGTATTATTTTAGAAACGGATACTTCTCAACACTTCTCCCCCCCCCCCCCTTGTTTGGAGCAAGTCTGTTTGGGCAAAGTGATTCATCACATGCAGAGTTAACTGACAAACCTCCATTTAGATTGTGGTTTAGTGACACCAGGGTCTGATAAAGAGGCTGTTGCATCTGCTCCGAGTCAGAGGTTATCTGGTCTCAAGATGGTGGTCTGGCCTTGCTCGCCTGTCCCGACATGTTCTACTCTACGGTCACGGCCTCCTCAGTGGGGGTGGGAGGTTATTTTATGTGCGTTGGGAATTTCTGGTGTCAAGTAAGGTGGGTTGTGGTTGTTACACTGCTGTCAAGTGGTATGTGGAGGGAGGGGCAGAGGCAGGGAGTGGAGGGTTGACTGGGAGAGTGGAGACGACTAGCTGGGTGGAATGAGGAGTGGAGGTGGGAGGCGAGACAGGAACGGAGAAAGAAGATGATGAATCCCTTTGTTTGTACAGACATTCATGATCCCTGGAGAAAGAATCTTTATGTTGGTGAACCCCTTGACTGTTCATCCAGCGCCAAAACCTGCAAAACTAATGACATTCCCATCAGCCTCAGTTGTAGTTTGTACTAATTAGCTAATGTTAGCATGCTGACACTGAAGTCAAACTAAGATTTAACTAAAAACACCAAAGATTGTAAACATTTTACCTGCTTAACCTCAACATGTTTGCCATGTTGCCATTCCGACCGTAGCATTCCACCTCCGTAGCCTAAAGGCTCACAGAGCTGCTCGTGCGGCTTTAGACTCTTATCTTACTTTTAAAGTGTGAGATAAGATGAAAGAAAACAACAGTCAATCTTGCGTCTGCTCAGCTGTCCTCACAGGCCGTTCTCTTCTTCTACAACCAGTACTCTCAGCTGTGTATCAGTGAGCATGGTCCTATAGTTACTGAGGTCAGTGCTGCTCAGCCACAAGCTGTGAATGAGGAAAGAGAACGTAAAGCCCACTGAGAGTTAGTATATGTACATTGTATGAAAGTCAGTGTATCCTGCAACACTCGCATACACATAAATGCATGTTTGTGTCAGTGTGTGCTCGTGTATTTGTATGAAAAATGATAACGGAACAATTATGTGCTGCTAATGGACTAATGGACCCAGCTCTGTCTGTGAGAGTGTTGGGTGCATCCATCAATGTGAATGGTTGCTGATCCACTCTTGGGTTTTCCATCTTTTAGTACTTTATTATCTCCGTCACTTTCCCTCCCTCCCTTCCTAAACCCTCCTCTGTTTCTTACAGTCCCTTCCCATCTGTCCACCCCTCCCTTTTACTCTCCTTCTGGATACAGACGGAGAATTTATGGTTTGAACCGTCCTCACCCCCCTCCTCCGTTGTCTATGAGCAGATCAGCACAGGTGTGTGTGTGTGTGTGTGTGTGTGTGTGTGTGTGTGTGTGTGGGTGTGGAGGTGTTCCCCATTAATTCCCTCGACAACTGTGCTACCATGCTATGAGGGAACACGCATATGCACCACATGGCACATCTACAATTGACGTCATGTGCGACACATGATATTTGACACACTGGCTCAAACACACACACACACACCTCTGGTTGGAGCAGCTGGGCGCTGTAGCGGTGTTATCATTGCCATAAGCGTTTTAGGGTCTTAAGCTGATAATCTGTCTGTTTTGGTATTTGGTGCGCTCCCTCTGCAGCGTCCAGCAGCTGGAAGAGACGCTATTGGTTCACGTTTGTGTGTCATGGTGGTTTTATGTCCGTTTCTTTGTTTGCCAGCATGAGAACAACATGCAGAGATACAATTTTTGTTGTGAGACACATCCAGTGCCAGCAGCCCTGACAGTTTTCGTCATAGTTATAAGAAATAAGTTGTACATGTGCTGTCAACATAGTGATGGATCTCTCAACAACAGTCAATGCTGCGCTTTTCTTCCCAGCCTCCTGTCTCCTCTGCCTCTGCTTGTTTGGTTGTTATCTCTGTTGTCTCTCGCTGTTTGTGCAGATTTTGTTTTTGACTCTTCATCTTAACCCAGAATACAGAATGCCGAGTTCCAGTGCTGTGATGGGCACAGACACCTTTGCAACTTTTTGAGGAGACTTTCTGCACCTTTTTGTGGTTTCTTCTGTCACAAAGTTGAGTTTTCTGAGGCGCTGGGAAGTGGGTGTTGCCGTTACCCAGCTGCCTCGGAGTGGTCGTGACACACAGCTGTGTAATGACTTGAGGAGGGAAGGGGGGTGTGGGTGTGACACTGCTCCTTCGTCCTGAGGCGAGTCGTTGCCAGGATGTTCGTCTGTACGTCTCCTCCTGCAACAATGTCCTAAAAGGTCGCAGCTGCCCGGGGTGAGGAGTATGATTTGGGT